GTCCATTGACGGCACGCAGCAAGCCCTCCAGCCTTTTCTTCCGACGCCATCACGCCCCTCTGCTTCTTGGCACACGTCACACCTCACGAGCGGCACTTTAATACACCGAGCCTGCTGACATGTGCTTAGCCTGCTGCCTTAAACGTGCTCAAACACAAGGTCCAGACAAGGGCTGGGGACACACTGCACCGCGGAGTGCTGGCTCTTTACCCTCATGATGACTTCTCTGACCAGGAGCACATCACTGGCCCAGGAAAAGATCCAAATTCTCAAAATTTGGTGCAGTTTCTACTGACTGCATGTCACCTCCACACCACTGTAGGATGAAGGCTCTTAAGTCAGGAACTGTCTGTCTATTAAAAGGATGATACACCATGATCAAGTGGGATATATTCCCAGAAAATACAAGGATGGTTCAATGCATGAAAAGCAACCAATGTAATACACCACATTAATAGAATGAAAATAAAATCAGATGACCATGTCAATTGACCTAGAAAAAGTGTTTCACAAAATCCCAAATCCTTTTATGATTAAGAAAACAAACAAGCAAACAAAACTCAGGGCCTTGGCCGGGTAGCTCAGTTAGTTAGAGCATCATCCTGATACACCAAGGTCATGGGCTTAATCCCTAGCGGGTCAGGACACACAGGGAATCAACCAATGAATGCATCAATAAGTGGAACGACAAGTTGATGTTTCTCTCTGTCTCTTGCTTTCCCCCTCTCTCTCTCTCTAAAATTAATCAATTAAAGAAAAACTCAGCAAAGTAGAAATACAGGAAAATTTCTCAACATGATAAAGGCCATATATGAAAACCCCACAGCTAATATCATACTCGACAGTGACAAACTGAAAGTGTTTCCTCTAAGACTAGGAGCAAGACCAGGGTGCCCACAGCCACCACCATCATTCAACAGAGTACCTGAAGCTGCAGAGCAAATAGGCAAGAAAAAGGAATAAAAGGCACCCAACTGGAAAGGAAGACGTAACAAATCTCTGTTCATAGATGATAAAATCTAGAATTCCACTAAAAACCTGTTAGAATGAATAAACAGGTTCAGCAAAGTTGCAGGATAGAAAACCAACAGGCAAAACTCAGCTGCATTTATTTCATGAACAATGAATAATTTACAAAAGAAACCCAACCTGATTCAAAAATGGGCAAAAGACCTGAATAGACAATTCTCCAGAAAAGATACATAAAAAGAAAGTCGGCGTCATTAGTCATGAGTGAAATACAGGTACAAACTACAATGAGCTACCGCCTCACACCCATCAGCATAGCTACCATCAAACAAGAGGGGCCGGGGGCGGGGCGGACAGAACACGGTAAGTGCTGGCCAGAATGTGGAAAAATTGGAACCCTTTGCGCTGTTGGTGGGAACGTAAATCGGTGCAACCGCTAGGGAAGGAGATGGGCGAACCCTCAACAACTGAAAACAGAACTACTGTACCAACAAGCCCACCTCTGGGTGTTTATCCAAAAGAATGGAAAGCAGGGACTCATCTGGACATTTGTGTTCGTAGCAGCAGGATTCACAACAGCTAAGACAAGGAGAACAAGTCTGCATCGACGGATGAACAGCTGAACAGACGTGAGATGCACATGTGCATGTGTGCATAGATATTATTCGCCTTAAAAGGAAGGAAATGCTGCCCTGGCCGGTGTGGCTCAGTGGATAGAGCGTCGGCCTGCGGACTGACGGGTCCCAGGTTTGATTCCGGTCAAGGGCATGTGCCTGGGTTGCGGGCACATCCTCGGTGGGGAGTGTGCAGGAGGCAGCTGATCGATGTTTCTCTCTCATCGATGTTTCTAACTCTCTATCCCCCTCCCTTTCTCTCTGTAAAAAATCAATAAAATATTAAAAAAAAAAAAAAGGAAGGAAATGCGGACACCTGGCACAACACGGGTGAACTGTGAGGACATGACACTGAGTGCAATAAGCCGTGACAAAAGGAGAACTGGTATGATTCCACTCACATGAGGTCCCTAAATCGGAGACGGAAGATGGAATGGCGGGGCCAGGGCTGGGAGGGAGAGCGTGGGCGTGAGTGGTGCCTGAGGACCCGGTGTCTGTTTTGCCAGACGAGGCCTCTCCCCGCCCACTCTGGAAGGGTCCTGCACCCGACTGCACAGGCTGCCCGCCTGCCGTGTCCGGATCCCCCCCACCCCCCCGAGGCCCAAGGCCCCGTGCACAGCTCACCTTGGGCAGGGCCAGCTCCTGGTCCAGCCCCACACTGATGTGACACATGAAGTAGAGGCCCACCCCGAACAGGGCCAGGAACAGCAGCACCTGGAGGGAACCACGTGTGTCACCGGGCACAGGCTCCCGCTCTCCCGACCTGGTCTGGCTGGCTGCTCTCAGAGGCACCCAGCTGGCCCTGAGTCCCCGCTGCCACCCACCCCTAA